CGGGCACGTCCAACCGGGACGAGACCTAAAGGTAGACCCAGGACATGATGGAGGGACTATGTCTCTCACCTGGCCAGGGAACGCCTTGGGATTCCCCCGGAGGAACTGGCCCAAGTGGCTGGGGAGAGGGAAGTCTGGGCCTCTCGCCTTAGGCTACTGCCCCTGCGACCCGACTCCGGATAAGCGGATGAAAATGGCTGGATGTTTATGATTATAACCTGTCACTCTGAGTTAGGCTGAACATGGAAATAGTCTCCTAAACCTATCTGCTGCATTAGCTTCTCATAGAAAATAGACAGTGAAATCCTAGGATTTGAAAAGCCTGACAGATGTATGCCACACTGTTACTTAACATTCATGGACTCACCCATCATGACTCGCGACAGGGAATGCTGTTGTTGGTTTAGTGTCCAGCAAACAGAAGAGAATGTCTCGGCTAGCAGAAGCTAACTGTTAGCATCAGCACATCCACTGCACAGCAAGACTCCTCCAGGCTTGTATTATTTGTGGCGATGAGACATCAACATTTCAAGTCAGTGGTAGTCGTGTTACTGTTAGCCAGTCAGAGGCAAGATGTCCAAATATCAGTAAATAAATCTCTAAATCCTTTTGACTGAAGCTCAACTCTGATCTGGCTAACTTCTAGTTCCTGAAACAGGTGTATACAGAGTGTGACTTACAAGGTATTCATTTCTACTGTAGAGACCACTGCAAAGTCAAGTCAAATTGATCTTTAAAGTCATCAATATGTAGTAGGTTCGTTTATGTTTAGGTGCACATAAGAAGTGATGAAAACCACCTTTGATAAAGATTTTGCTGTTCTCTTTCACTCAACACTTTGGGTGCAGGGCAGCAGTTTGGTTGTAAATATTTATCTTCAGCAAATCTAACTAACAACCACAGAAAATGCTGTGATTTTTCAGGATACATCAGACAACACATCCAGATCAAACCTGAAAGTAGACAGAACATCTTAAGATGTGTCACACGTGTCCAGAATTATCCACCTACTCTCTTTATAGCATAATAACACAGGGTCTGCTGTATTCACTCCAACTCAACCCAGAATTTGTAACAAATAATTTTGTCTGCAAAATATATAACTTTGACAGTAAATTGAATAATACCGGTAACTGTTATATTGGGACATTTTCAAGACTCCTTTAGGTGAAAATCCTGCCTGCAGGTTCAACCATTACAGTACAAATGCCTAGTTTGTTATATTGTCACATAAGCATTTTACAATTATAAATAACTAAAAACAAATGTTTTATCTCACTTTCACACAGGAACAATCATTTGTATTTTTCGCTTTCTTGAATTGTATCAGACTTTTTTTTTGGTAAAATCTTCTAAGTATATATATTTGCACTGTTTCAGGTTCAGAGTTTGAGGATAATGTTACATTTTGTTGCAAATTTTATGTTTGTAAATTTTTAATGACATGACTGGTACATTTAAAAACTGTTTATGTCAACCAGGTGGCCTTTATAAGCTCCAGAAGTCCAATCGGTGACCTAAACTGGAGAGACATTTAGAGCTCTTAGCTATAGCTCAAATTTTCTGGAAGGTCCGAAGACTTTGATGCCACTCATGCTTCTCGACAGACTTTGTAGCACCTGTTTGACCTTTAGCATCGCTATTTGATCTCTTTATGCCCCAAATAATCAACCCAGAAGGTGGACGTAATCAGCCAGGACACTTTTATACTGCTTGGTAAACTTGGCTTTTTTATGGGAAATAAGTACAATATTTTAAAATGGAACATCAAACGCCATATTTATTGATTTGTAGACCTAAAAATATAGATGAAGAACATAAATTAAGCTATTTGACAAATCAACAAAATGATTTCAAATGAATGCAGAAATGATTAGCTGCAGTTTGAGTATTATCAGCTGAAAGTTAAAGTCCATCACAAAAAGCTTACCGTATATGTTTTATAAACTCTCCTTGTGTAGACTCAGGAAATGACACTTAATTCTCAGAGTTCTTACTGAATTATTTTCCTGTTCCCAGCCTTATTTGTCTGGCTGTTTATTGTCAGACAGACCACGGCAGGCTGTTTATTCAGGCCTCTGACCCGCCTGTTATGTCACAGACGAATGAGAAAGAATTCCTATAAAAATCTGTTTGGTGGAAAAAGCAACAGCGATATTACACCTACAGGAGGGGAGACGTCTGAATCAGCGACAGTTCCAGCGCAGGTTGTTTTTTCCAAGCAGGTTTACACTTGCTTACCTAACTAACCCAAATTAAATAGATTTGTGGGGGGAAAAGAGGCTCTTTATGAGCCTGAAGATTCGCATTTAGCCTCAGTCCTATTTGATTATGAGAGCAGCTTTCCAAATAAAATAATTTGTTTTGCTATTACGTCAGTTTGTCCGCTCCGTCGTCCTTCAGCCCAGCATCTCCACCATCAAACAGCAATCTTCAGAACTGAGGACTCTACGTGCCTCCAAACCAAATACACGCTGATGGTCGGACCGTTTGTTTTCTCCTCCATTTTGGATTAAATGAGACTGTTTTCTGCACATGCTTTAAGGTCCTCTGTCATCTTAATACAGAGCTGTTCCTACCAGAGCTTCTGTAATTTTCCAAATGTAAGTTCTAACATTTTGACTTAGCCTGAAATTTGTGGACTTTCACAACCAGCAGACACCGCGGAGGTCCTACCGCAGTGAGAGTGGAAAAGGTTCCAGATGAAAAACCAGCAAGAACATTTAGGCATGTTCAAAAGGACTTGAACCTGTTAATGTTCCACATCTACTAAACCTCATTAAAAATGTGTAAAAGACAGAAAAGCAGATTTAATGTCTTTGAATCTCTTTTTAAAACATTTTCCTGACGATAAGAAATATGCAGAAATGGTGTTTTCATCTACATTGTTCCATGACTTTGCAAGATATAGACATTATGACACATCCAACTTTATTTTTAAAGCTGCATCTCTAGTTGAAAAAGTTATATTTGAAGCACAGAATTATCTTCATCAATGCATGTTTTCAATTGTTTTAAACAATATTGGCCAAAAGGACCCCCAATGGTTTCTGTTGGGAATGTTTGAAATTAATTTGATAAAGAATAAAGAACTAATTAATTATAGGAAACTAAATTTCTCCCATTATGCATTCTTTACCTTTAAAAGTTTTCTTCGCAAAATGACAACTGCTTCAATTTAAGTTAGGAAATGGTGAGAAGCAGCTGAGTCAAGTTCTCTCTGAGATAATCCTGACAAAAACTCGCCACACAGAAAAACTTCTACTTCTTCATAGGTTGTGCCAAACAAACAAAAGTATCTCAAACACTTTATTTTGGATGTGTCCTATTTTGATTTTCTGAGGAGGAGAGATGTGGCTGAGAACTTTGATGTATAGTATGTGCATGGTAGCTAAAGTTTGTGTCAATAAAACAGTAAAAACCAAAAGTTTGTTGCCACTTTCAGCCAATAATACTGGTAGACCAATTTATTGCATAACCCTAGTTTTTATTGAAGGTAAAGCATGCAGAAGCTGTGCTTCTGGTTAGCATTTGCAATTCTAATGGTAGCTAGAGTTCATCTTTATTTGAAACACACTTTCAGACCAATTTGCTTTCTGAATTGCAGATTTACCAATCAAATAAACCTAAAAGACACCCCTGTGAGACAAAGATGTTCACTTTTTATGTAATAATTCAATAGTTAGTCATAAGCAGAATAATAGTCATGCAATAGAAAGCTTTTCAGTCTGAAAATAAGTATTTAAACAAGCTAGACTGTGTTCGTTCTTTAGCAGAACGTATACCTTTCTCCCAGGAAAGAATGTAATTTAAGCAGCAAAAGCAAACATGCCAGTCATTTTAGCAGTGTGCTTGTGGTACACAATAGAATAGAAGGTCTGCTTTCAATGTCTGATTTTCCTTGCTCTGTTCCAAGGTCTGTAAAACAAGACATGAAGAAAACGTGAGCCTTTTCACTGCATGTGTTGGGACATGTCGACCTATTCAGACACTTTATGACAACAATCCTGTCCCTCACAGAGTTTAAATTCCTCAATATGTTCAAGAGTTTTTCCAAACAAGATTTATTTTGGATTACGTTCCAAGCTAGGTCCATTTTTCTGATCTTGATCTGGGTTGATTGCTTCCCTTCACTGTTATGACTCTGCATGAAAAGTTTGTCTAAAACCAGACTCCCCATAAAAAAGATAACGCAGCAGTTCAGACTTTGATCTTTACAGATGGCTTCTGCTGGTACTTAAACCTGCACATATGTCCAAAATGTTCCTGATGCTTGTGAGATGTGTCTGGGAGAAACAGCTGATTACATGGAGCTGAACAGGAAGAGAAGGCAGAAAGAGAGAGGGGAAGACCAAGCCATGCAACACTCCACTTCCAAACAAAGGAACCCTTATTTAATCGCTGAGATGAGAGGAAAGATCTGGTTTCTACGTCAAGTTTCAAACAATGGATCTCCAGATGAGATGAGATGGATAAAACACGGAGGACTTCTCTAACAGCAGCCACATTCAACAGGAAATATGTTTTCCAACAGATTTGTTGTTCTGTTGCATGAAAGGAAAAACTAAAATTGCAAACTTAAAATTAGAGGTGTTTGTTGAGATGTTGGTTCAGCACCAGATGCTACTCAGGGTCACATAGTATAGATTCTCAAATGTAAACGTGTGTTTACAAAAGCTGGTTATTTCCACTGAAGGCCTGGTGGGAAAATAAGGAATAAAAACATGTTGCCTCAGGATATGGAAAAGTATTCCTGTGGATGAAAACAGGAACTGTTTACACATCTGTTTCCAGCCAAACAGCAGAGCTAAATGCAAACTTCAGAAGACCTATTTAATCTCAGCTGTCCTATTTGCACGTATGCTCCCGACTGCAACAACTCCTTCAAGCATGTGACATAATAATGTGCAAGAGACTTTTGAACAAACGGACAAGTGAATGAAGCTGAAACTGAAGGGTTATGAACAGTATAATAGGAATATTGTGTTTTCTGTCCTCAGAGACTTTGAAGATGAGGGTGTGGGTAGTCTTCCTCCTGTGCCTGGCTGGCCACGCCTTTGCTGCTCCTGTAAGTAAAACTCATGATGAGTGTTTCTGTGTCTAGGTGTCGCCTCCAGTCGGTGTTTTAGCCAGCACGTTCCTTCCTTTGTGTACTGTCTTCTGTCCTTTCCTGTACGACCTCTAGTCAGTGTGTGACAGATTGTGTTTGAGTCTTGATCTTGGTGAGTACTCACCCTTAAAGCATTTCCTGGGCATTTGTCCTCAAGGGTGTATGCCATAGTCTAGACAAAATGTTTGGTTTAACACAATTTCCATGCAATGTCTCCTTGTTCATATGAAAATTCACATAGTGTTGATAATCTGTGATTTTTTTCATAAGATTGTGTAATGCTTTGTGTGTCCCAGACTGAGGAGGAGCCCAATGTGGAGGAGCTGGTTGCTGAGGAACCAGCTGCTGAGGTCAGTCCAAACTTTCTTTTCATTAGAGCAGCTATGTTTTAGCCTGGCAAGCCAGACTAAATAAATGTATTATTTAGTCTGGCCACGCTCCATTGATGGCTCTTGGTTGTGGGGTGGGTTCTACCGTTGTCTTTCAAATGATCTCCGCATTCCACTGGACAATGAATGTGACATACTCTTGTTTCACTCTGTTGCATCATCCCACCCACCAGGCATATAGAGTGCCCTGATTGGCCCACAAAGCCGATTAAGCTCTGTGATTTGTTCACTAAGCAGATAGAGCACTATGATTGGCCCACCATTATGGACCAATCACAGCTCTTTATGTGTTTGAAACCCCTCTAGAGAGCTGTGATTGGCTAGCCAGAGTCCTGGTAGGAGCTGCGGAGGTTCCAATGGAGCATGTCTAGACCATTCTTTGCAAAGCAAGAATTTGGTCTAGTTAACTAGGCTAGCTATGTTTGGCTTTCTATAAAGTATTGATATTTTCTTAAAGGGTCAGTAAAATTTACAACCACATTTACCTTTTTGTTATTGAGTGAAGGCAGCTTGGCGTGTCTGATATAGCATACCAAAAAATCTTTGCTGTCTCTGACCTGCTTTCCTGTATAAATTAGTCATGTTGTAATGGCCACGGAGACGCAGTTTGTTCTGAGAAAAGCCGGTTTAACACGTCATAGAGTGCGTTTACATGCAGCCAGTAACCCTTTAAAAACCCGAATATTCACAATAACCCGGTTCCGCAGGTCCGTGTAAACACCGCCAGAAACCCGGATATGCTCATAACTGGGTTTTTAAAAACTCGGTTACTACACCTGGGGTAACCCTTTTCTAACCCGAATGTTTGGTCGTGTAAACGCATACCGGGGTATCCCCATCAAAGCGTGTGTTCTGCGCATGCTCTGTTCGCAAGGAATCTTGGTCTTTTGAGTAGCGAGACGTCTTGTATGCGCCAGAACTCTGGAAGTAAACAACAAGTTGGGAGCAACGTGGCGAGTCGCAGCACAGCACCACACTTTCGGAGTGACGAAGAAACTAAAGTGCAAACAAAAGCGGTCGCTATCTCTTCCGAACTGGGAAAAATGTTGTTGTTTTCACGGATACCGGAACGAGAAGAACCGGAAATGACGCATATTGCGTCTTGACGTAGTCCACACGTCCTGACGCTACCCCAACGTCTGCATTTAAATCGGGTTATGCAAGTTAGGGGTAACTCTTTCTATTTATGCTTGTAAACGGGTATTCTGATCAACTCAGAAACCCGAATCCCGACCTTAACCCGATCATAACCCGGATATTGGTTGCATGTAAACGTAGTCAGTGTAGACACACCTCCTTAAATATGCACATTCCAACCCACGTCAGTGTTAGCGATGTATAAACGCTGATCGCAGTAATGCTATCTGCAGAACAAGGGTAGCCTTGAGCTACCGCTACCACTAGCCTGAAGTAATGCTAATATACTTGTTGGATGAGTGGAAAACAAAGGACAGTGATGAAGCACTCACATTCCAGGATGTAATGGAACAATGACTGCCCACAACCCACTGGAGTCAGAAGCTATCAGGGTAAACCGGCCAATCAGCACGCAGCTCATGTCATGTTTACATCCTGCACGTGTGAGAGGGAGGAGGAAACAGTCTTTTCATCACAGATCTAGTTTATAGATGGTAAAATGGTAAATGGCCTGTATTTGATATAGCACCTTCTAGAGTCCTGGAACCCCCCAAGGCGCTTTACAACACAATCAGTCATTCACCCATTCACACACACATTCACACACTGATGGGGATGAGCTACGATGTAGCCACAGCTGCCCTGGGGGGAACTGACAGAGGCGAGGCTGCCGAGCACTGGCGCCACCGGTCCCTCTGACCACCACCAGCAGGCAACGTGGGTTAAGTGTCTTGCCCAAGGACACAACGACAGCGACAGACTGAGCGGGGCTCGAACCTGCAACCTTCCGATTTCGGGGCGAGCACTTAACTCCTGTGCCACCGTCACCCCATAGGGTTGAGTTTGGCCATTTATCGTGACTCCTGGGCCATTGTGAGCCCCAGCAAAGTTTCATAAGCTTTATGGAGGCTCAAAGAACAGTTTCCAACTGTGAATAGTTTACTATTGACCCTTTAAAGTTGAAGTATTCGTTTAGTGTCAAGAAGTTGCAAAAAAAAAAAAGTAATCCTTGAGAGTTTCTCATATACCACATTTGATTTGGAGCTAATTTTTTGTTCTGCATCAGAATGTACATCTTGAACTACAACAGAGATGTTTAATGTTTACGTTTATAACCTTTATAACAATTTGATAGAGAAAAGTGATTGATTTAGCTTGAAAAGTTTTACTTTTAGACCCCATGCTTAAGTTTCAAAAGCTCCTTGTTGCCTTCAGTTGAAGTCTGCAGACCTGAGCCCTTGAACTTACGCTGTAAAAATAGCCATATATTTACCAGTGATAAATCGTAAAACCACGACAAGAAAAACCAGTCAACTGTAAAATTATCTAAAACTATTGATTTTATGTGAAGTTGCTGTAAATAAATTAATTGGTGAAAACAGTAATTTGTACATTTTTACTTTGTAAAAACTACATCATTCTACTGTAAAGCACTCTTGCATAGTTTTCTTTATAGGAAAATTCCTTAAAGTTTACAACAATAAAACACCATCATTTTTACATTTATTAATTGAAAAAACTGCTTTTTATTGATGGTAATGGTGTAAGGAGTTTACTTCCTGTTTCCCAGTGTGCTTAGCGGCATTTAGGTGAGATCTGGCTGAACTGTCAGGGAAGTGTGTGTTCTTGACCTGACTCATGAATGCAAATGAAGGCTGTGCTGCAGTTCAATGCTGATGTCTTTAGAAACTCAATGCCTTTGATTACCATGATTTTACACAAAAGTGCTGTTGAAAACATGAGCAGTAATTAAGCAAGCAAATCAGTTATGACCCTAATGGCAGTTAATTGCTTATTTTGTTCTACTAATTGATTGCAATAAGGTAAACCCATTGAATTTAGTTTTTAGTGCGAAAAAATGTTGATTCTAGTGGCATCAATTTTAGTTTATACATTATTTTCATGTTTGTTTTACAGTAAAACAATGTTTTTTTTTTCAAGTAAAAAACATTTTCTTCTACAGTAAACTACTGACTTCAGTACCGTTTTTAAATGTAAAAATAAAAATAAATTACCGTAACGTTACTGTACTATTTTGGCAATCCCAGCTGCCGGCGTTTTACCGTAAAATCTACGTTATTTTTTTTACAGTGTATAGAAAAAGGCAAAAATAGGTATTAATGGGAGAATCTGGCTCTGTTTTACTCTATAAAACATGCGTTAAAACATGGCTTTCTCAAAGGTTTTCAATAGAAAAAAATTTGGGACTTTAAAAAAAAATCTAAAATACAGAACAAGAGCTTCCGCCTCAGCCCTGTTTTTACATCTCTGCTCATTATTTTCAAAGGTAGAATGACACATACATTTGGTTTTGCAGCTTTGTAAAAATGTTACAGATACATGCAGGAACCCTTGCAGCAGTTTTTTCCTCACTTATTGGCGCACATTGCTAATATTTACTCACAGACTTGACAAAGGTTTAATGTTTGTTTCTGCTCACACCACGGTCACAGCGGAGTTCTGGAAGGAAACTTCTCTAGAAAAATAACTTTTTACTCATGAGGGTGTGTGAGTTGTCTTGGGTTTTGCATTTTTATTTCTGTTTTTTTTTTTTGCTAACCTTCTAAACTAATTATTTTTGTAGCTATAACTTCATGTCCCCGATAAAAGGCTTTTAAAGATCCATTATTAATAAGTCTAAATTATTATTAAATTATTCCACCAAATTCCATCTCAAATGCTTTCTTCTTTTTCTAATTAAAGTCTATAGGATCAGTTGTGAACAATGCAGGAAATATCAAAGGGAAACACTAAGCAACGTTTCTGGATCCAAAAACTGGAGTTTCCATGTGAACATTTTATGGTTTCCTGCTCCAGAGGTCCAGTGGGACCACAGATCCCACAGATGTTCATTTTAGCCACTGATGGAACCAGTCAGGGAGCGTTTAGATTCTGTTTTATGGCTTCACCACTTGTGGACCCAGCTGCTTGTTTTTGCTGGATATTATGGTCTTCCAGACTCTGTCTGGCCTACAGGGTGGACCGTCTTCTGAGAAGACATCTTGGGTTTTTTTTTCAGGAAAACCACAAGTAGTTAAGTGGTTTGGGTTGAGTGGACGCCGTGCAAAATAGACCCAAAAATAAATGTTTTAAAAGACCAGAGTGATTTTGTTTTGTATTTATCTCTTGATTCTGATCACTTTTGACCAACATGTCACATTGCAACCTTCAATCTCTCTTGTTACCTATAGGAGGTCGATGTGGGAACAAACCCAGTGCAGGTGGAGGTTGGAGAGTTTGATGAAGGAATCGAGGTTGATGAAGATGTTGCTGAGAGTAAGTTTTCATCTTTATTATGTCATCCAGGGAGACTCGTCCTAACCAACACATCCATCGTGGGGACCTGAATGATATCCCTGGTTATTGGAAGACTTTATCCTCCTCAGAGCTATTTATTCAGTGCTTTATGTCTCCTGATGAAACACAAATTCCAATTTCTGAGGCAAACTCAACCAGAAATCTACTTCTGGCCCTGTAAACTAATCTAGGAGGGTTTAAAGAGTTGCCCAAACGTCTGTGTAAAGATACAAAGTTAGACGTGGATGCACAAACATTGAATTCATTCTGATGCACTGACTTCTTCTTCTTCTTCGTCTTCGTCTTCTTCTTCGTCTTCGTCTTCATCTTCGTCTTCGTCTTCTTCTTCTTCTTCTTCTTCTTCTTCTTCTTCTTCCTAAAAGGCATTTGGTTACATTGTACGCACTCAAGCCTTTGCTGGCTCAGGTTTCTGGTTTTATCCAAGCCTCAAACTGCTAAATCAAATGGTTGTAATGACAGGCTGCTTCCTTCTGTGAGCAGACGGCTGTGATTATATTTTCCACCCAGCCTTAAAATGCAACTCAGCCACAGTCAGCTCAGAGAGCATCAACAGCACAGGGTAGAAGCTTTTGCTCTGAGCGGTTCCACACTCTGATTAAACTGTGACTGATTAACACCTGATGCAACAGCTGCATGTTTCTTCTCATCTGCATGCTTGTGCATCTTGTAGCAAATCATGGTAAACACATTTAAAATCTATCAAATCAAAGATGAAAATAAGTACAGTAGATAGCTCAGGCGATGAAAGGTTAAACCCCCTAAAACAAACACCAATGAAATTAAAACAGTGATGAAAATTCAAACTACACGTTTCAAGGTTTAATCTTAATAAGAATTTAAAAATGAAATCTCCAACCTTCCCTCTGTGCAGACCCTTGCCTGAATTACCAATGCAAGAAGGGCAAAGTGTGTGAGGTTGATGAGAGCAACACCCCTATGTGTGTGTGCCAGGACCCCTCCACCTGCCCCCCTGCCGAGGGAGAGTTTGAGCATGTGAGTTTCAAAAAGAAACATCTTCCATCTCTGTTCAAACTGATCTCTAATCGCTTTTGAAACTTTTTTCCAGGTCTGCGGCACCGACAACAAGACCTATGACTCCTCCTGCCACTTCTTTGCCACCAAGTGCACCCTGGAGGGAACCAAGAAGGGCCACAAACTGCACCTAGACTACATTGGACCCTGCAAATGTGAGCTTCTGAACCCTACGCTGAACCAATGGCCTCATCTACACATCTGGAATATCCTGAAAGAAATGCAGTGAGGCTGTTGAGGCCTATAGATGTTATAAACAGGAGTCAGTGATGACTGACAGGAGTAAGGTGTGCAGGATAATGCATATTTTTGAGCTCCTGCCTGATAAGTCAGTATTTCATCTGCACTAGAAGAAGTGGGATTCAGTCACTGGTGACTTTGGGCTTTTCTAATACTGCTGTTTTAAGAAACTCCTAATCCATTTCACACTTGAACATTCAATGTGCATTAAAGCCAGTGGAAACATTTTTTTTACCCTCAATTGCTTATTTTATCTAAATTCTGCAGAACCAGAAAATCTAAAGCTTCTGCGTTTATGATTTAGTTCCTTCTCACGTGTAAGTTAAAAATCTGAAGCTGTCGGCAGATCCGCTCTCTCTCTCTCTGCTGCGACTGACGGGTGGGCTGGGCTGTCGTGTCGGGCCCTGTGGGCGCCGTCCAGACATGCAGAATGCATTTCTTCCTCTGTTCAAACTCAACACATCTCACGCAGCATGAGGAGATGAGTCAGGGCTGAGGGGCTCAAACGGAGATCTGGTAGAGCTCAGACACCAGCCTTTGGGATGTTTAAGGTGGAAAACTACCTGAACATTTGGATTTAAAGTAACGTCAATGAACTTCTAGATGATTATTCAAATATTGTAATGGTAAAGAACACTGACAGAGTTTTAGCTTGTGATTGCTTCTCCTTATTTTGTTGCTTCTGTGTAAAATATTTACTGACAGCGTGCAATGTGCTGAAGTTTGTCCAAAAATGTTTGTCCCTTTCAGTGATCGAGCCCTGCCTGGACAGTGAGCTGAACGAGTTCCCTCTGCGGATGAGGGACTGGCTGAAGAACGTTCTGGTGACTCTGTACGAGCGGGATGAGGACAACAACCTGCTGACTGAGAAGCAGAAACTCAGGGTGAGAAGGGGCGCTGATTAAATTATTAGATGTTTGGTTGAAAAAAATTTTTTGAATTTAATAGAAAAAAATATTGAAATCACCTCTAATTCTTGTATATTTTCATCTTCAACAGACAGGTTTTCTTTTAATCTTCTAAAGTACTTTTTCTGCCTTTGTCCTCTGTTCTACTTCAGTTTAGACCATTTACTTCATTTCTGTTCTCAATCTTTATGAATCACAAAACTATTCAAATTAAACACTGACTGAAAAAACAACAACTCAATAATCTGACACAAATCGATAAATCTAAATCTTAAACTTGTATTAAATGCCAAAGCTTCTGCAATATGCACAGAGTTTGTTGTAAAGATCAGCAATGCTTTAGTGATGAATAATAAAGTTTCTGTAGAGCAGATTTGTTTCCTAAAGAATTAAACGTTAAAACTGTTTGATGGTTACAAACAGAAAATGTTTAAATGAGTAAAAAGCAGCTAAAAACCAGAGGTTCTCCAGCAGCAAGTCGGATTAATATTTCTGCCCATCATCATTTTGACTTCACAACGCCCAAGTTTGATACCCCAAGGGACATCTTATCCATACATTTACTCAAATACTATTTTACTTAAACATTTTACTTCTTTGTCTGTTTTTTTATTTATTTTTTATCTCTTTAGTCCATTTGCATAGTTTATTACTGTTGTGGTTCTTTTGTGTGTGCCTGTAATGTCATGTTCAACCAGCCGTTTTTCCAGCCCTCTTCCCAAGGTGGTTTGCTTCGGGCTGAACTGGCCCAACACGCCCACTGCCGACTGATTGGCCGGCTCAAATTCATGCCTACCATTAGGGGGAGCCTCCGACTGGCGGATAGATCAGTCAGGCGAGCAGTATACGTGACTAACGCGACCACCTTCTTTTACGGGGGGCCTCCCACAGTCGCTCCAAAGCGATTAGCGGAGCTGACACGCGTTTAGCCGTCAGAGGCGAGGGGCTGATGCGGCAATATTACTACCAAGTGAGGCGGAACGAATGTCGCAATATTCGAGCAACGCCATGCCGGCATGGCGCATTTATAGACATACAATTGCGGTAATATTACGCCAATATGCCGGCATGGTGTGTCCTATAAATGCACCTTCTGTGTGTTGTGAGAGGCACTCACACACAGACGGTGCTGTCGAGGTTTGAGGTGCCACGTTGGAGGACACACAGCAGAGCAGGATGCAATACCAAAGTCTGAGTCTCCCAAAGCAACACAGCTCACGGCCACCTTTATCAAATTTAAGGGAGACACCACAAACTTCTGTGTTAGTCTTTTGCCCTGCCCACGTACTCAGAGATTACACATTCCTGATAACTGTGTGTGTGAACAAACCCTACGAATGTGGGAGCTGTATCTGACGCCACCCAGCCCAGACCGGACTGGGACGATGTGGAAGCGGCCATAATCTTATCGCTATGGATCAGTACAAGGAGATGTGTCAAGATCTATGTGCGTCACATATCTTCTCCTTCGTACACAAGATGTGAAAACAATGGGTGCTGATTGTGGAAAGAACAAACCATTCTGTCCTACTTTAGCTGGACAGATAGAAAATGGAGAGAAGTGACCTAGGTCATGTTTCAGATTAGTAATTAACCATCAATTCTCCAAGGGTGTAGGTTCTTAAGGGTTAAGCAGGTAAAGTCCTATAAAACTATGCAGTTTTGTTTGTTTACTTTTTGTAACGGAAGAATTTTGATGTGAACCAACATTAAATCTGTTCGCCTCTGATGTGAAACCACTTCTGTCCCATCTATCAGGTGAAGAAGATCTTTGAGAATGAGAAGAGGCTGCAGGCTGGCGATCACTCTCTGGACCTGCTGGCTCGTGACTTTGCAAAGAACTACAACATGTACATCTTCCCCGTCCACTGGCAGTTTGGCCAGCTCGACCAGCACCCCATCGATGGGTATGCAGCCATTAGTTTGTTCGCTTTAAAGGAAAATCAAAGTTTAGGAAAACCTCCCCATGGGTGATTGTCTCTGTTTCATCACCAGATACCTGACCCACTCCGAGCTGGCCCCCCTGCGTGCCCCTCTCATTCCCATGGAGCATTGCACCACCCGCTTCTTCGAAGAGTGTGACGCTGATGATGACAAATACATCGCTCTGGAGGAGTGGGCCTCTTGCTTTGGCATCAAAGAGCGTGAGTGTCGATAACACAGCTGTGTTCAGTATTTTTTCCCAGTTTCATCTTTTTTCTTTTCTTTTTTTTTTTTGCAAAGTTTATGGTCAGAAACTAAAAGTTTAAGTTTATGTATTTGGCAGATGCTTTTATACGAAGCTGCTTAACGCGGTTTCCCATAAGACTAGCAATAAACTACTTACATTGAAGAGAGAGAAAGGGCATAAAGAGAGTACAGAGTAGAGCAACGGCTCCCAAAAGTTCCCTATGTGGGTCACCATGAATTACACAGGGAGTCCTGAGATGATTTCCCGAAATTGATAAAAAAAATTCTAAAGCTATTTTTCTGGGATAGTTATTGCAAAAACTCAACTAAATTTTCAAATGTTTGTAAGTGAGCATGAGCTGAAGTAGTTTTCTTCATGCCCTGAGTTATTTCTCTTTTTAAACATGTTGGTGTTGTAAAATCAGCAACATCGGGGCTTGCATGCTTGACTATTGCTATTTTGAGAGTCTAAAGCTAAAACATCTTGAGAATCACTGCAGTAGTATAGAAAAAAAAAGGTGCATGTTAGGTCCTAGTCTGGAAGATGCTCTCTGAGGAGCTGGGTCTTCTAGACAGACAGGGAAGCCCCTGTCTTGTTAGCATTCGATAGGCCAATTGACTGTTGTGGAACGACTCAGGAAAAGAGTCTGGATTGTCGTGAGCTTGGTGTGGAAACCCTAGCAGGTTATCCTTGATGACCAGAATGACCAAGTCATGGGACCAGAGGAATTCAAACTACTCTATTCAGGACTTGATAGGCTAACAGTCAGTGTGTTTACATGCAATAAGAGAAAAACCAAGTTATTGCCTCAGTCTGAATAAAATTAGACATTTAAATGCACAAATACACCTTAGTCCAACTGAAGTCAAACCAAACTGGCCTACTCCTAATCAAGATAACGTACCCAGATAATCAGTGCGGTTACATGCGCACTGACTGACATCTAAGTTGATCCCGGTTGATCTAAGGGTAATAAGCTGGGAGTCTTTATCGTGGTGCGCATTAGAAAACCGACCGCTCATATAAAGTTCCTTCCACTCCGCTACAGTAGGTGGCAACACGCCCCATTTCACGTTGGCATTCTTAGCTTATAGCGACGCAAATAATATACAAATGTCGGCGGGGCTGCAGCTGATGGAATTGAAACAGGATGTGCAACAACGCTGCAGCACAGCTTATTGGGTACGTACTATACTGTTTGATGGTGTTACACGTGCTCATTTGTGGCAATGATAACCCTAACCCGCAAACAGTAGAGGGCGTACCAAATGTACTGTCCCAACACATTCTCACACCCGAAGCATTGAAAAAGGATGCTGGGTGACCAAGCGTTTGTTTCCGACACATTGGGAGCCCCAACGCATCAGGAGGCGATGCGCAGTTCCAGAGCATCATTTTCCGACGCCCGTGGTAAAACGCACATTTCCCTTTCTTGCTATTTAACCTTCCCCTCATTGCCCTCATAACCTTAACCCTATTTGTCATTCTAAACTTCCCGTGAACCATGTTTGTGAGGGACGATACAACTAGCAACAAAGTTTTGCATGCGCAAGAGGGTTAAGGTTAGGATGGGGGTGAGGGGGAGGGGGAGGTTAAATAGCAAGAGGGTAAAGGTCAGAATTCAGTGAAATCTCCATTTTCCCACAGCAGTCGGAAAACGCCTCCCTCACCCATCGTCATTTTTTAATGCTTCGGGTGTGAGAATGTGTTGGCTGTGCTGCAGTGCTTTTGTTGTCCATTGCTTCGGCTATTGTGCGTATCCTTATTTTCTTCATCTGCTTCACTTGCTCCAGTAATTTTTTTATTATTTTTGTTGCTACAGGCTAACCAGAAGTATGTCAACACAAACGGTGCATGATATCATGGAGTGGAAAGCACTCAATTCAATATTTGCTAACGAACATGTACACCATGATAAAGGCTCTCATTCTTGTTCAGTTTGAGCTCGATTATTGCCACAGCTCGATTTAGATGCACATGTAAATGCATCTTGAGCGTGGTGCAGGCAGCTAAGATTAGCCAAAAGGATGAATGTCCTTAAACCGTTTCTATGTTTCTAGATGGGTTACTTAATTTGTTTACATCAAACCAATTTTTAAAAGATTTTTCCTTAAATGTATCTCTATAATTTCTGTTTTCCTATTATTATGCCAGGAACGTTCTGTTACCAACATGCAACGATGAATGTTTTGTTCTTTATGTTTACAGAGGATGTGGACAAAGATCTCATCATCTAAACTCCTCGATTGGAAAGCGGTCGTATGACAGAAAACTTTAGCCGCTACTGACCAGACAAGGTGCTGATGATTCTTAAGTTAAAATAAAAAAACACAAAGTGCTAATTGCAAATTCTTTTCAACTTTTTCTCAAATAATGATCTTTCCTACCTATACCACTAAAAATATTCCAAATGAGAAGTGTGCACAGTTTGTACTAACCATCACGTGTTCAGAGACGTTTGCCTGTTTGCTGAACGAAACACCTTGTAAAGAAAAACTAAAGACCTCTGATGTAAATTTACATTTTGACAATATTATATGTCTATGCTATGATGTGTTCAGGGCTTTTGTTAAATTGGAGACCGGTTTGAAACATTTTCTTCAGGAGACTGAAACTGTAAAGTCAAAAATAAAGTTTCTAAATAAATGCTTTTCCTGCTTGCTTTCTACCAAACCAGCTGTTTAGTTTTGTACTCTTTTGGTGGCAGTGGGCTCCTTTTACAGTGAGTTTTGTATTTTGTTTTCTAACTTCTTGACTACTGGTTGATTGGTTTTTAAGTCTGACTTTTGATGCAAATTTCCTGACAGAGGCCGATGTGTGTCGATGTTTACACATTAAAGAGGGTCACGTTTGCTGGAAAAAAGGGGAAACCTCGCAGGCTGAGTTTTTCTCACCAATAAAACTCAATTGACATCTTATGGTGAATAAAATCCTATGAAACGAATGTGCCGATCTCTTCCTGGCTTCACGTCTGCAGCTGTGTCCTAGCGAAAGGAATTCAGTCTTAGATAATCCGAGGAGAATCTGCACAACAACCTGTCCTAACTCTGTTTTTCATCATTTCTGACTTGTTTTTCTTTGTAAAGTTTTTATAGAGGAAAATCATGTTTGTGAAGTTTGTTAGGTTCATTTGACAAACCTCTATGAGTGTTTTGGTTTTTACACACATTAATTCTGACAGTTCTTTTGGTTTGATGTCATAATTATATTTTATCTCCTTACTGTATATCTGGGCAGGTTTAGGCAGGTGGTGACTTTTAGATGCAGGATAATTCATTTTACTTTCTTGAGATCACTTAAGATTTATTCGTTACTTCACTCTCTCCGCCCTGACTGTTAGCCAGCTTAGATAATCCCGTTTCTTCTTTAAAAGTCATCGTGATTAGGTTAAACAGTCAATGTGGTAATTGTTTTCAGGCCCATTTTTAATTGTGAATGCACAAAATTCTGTGAAATACTCAAAAAGTGGATCGGAAAAGCAAAAAGATTAAATTACACTGTAAAAAATGACTGTGAATTACACAGTAATTTACTGTGTTTCTGTAAAGTAACTCACTGTGAATGTATTTAAAGTAAAATACTGTATAATTGACAGTAACTGTTGCAGTACTGTATAAATCACAGTAATAAATGCAATACTGTAAAACTTCACAGCAGACCAAGTTCTACTGTAGTAAGTCACAGTAATATAATCACTACTGTAAGAAACAAAGCAAAAATTTACAGTAGTATGAAAATACTGCATAAATTATGGTAATACATGCAATACTTTAAAAATTCACAGCATACCAAGTCCTACTGCATTAAGTCACGGTAATATCATCACAACTGTAAAAAACAAAACAAGACTTTACAGTAATGGGAAATTATTGTATAAATCACTGTAATAAATACAATACTGTATAAATTCACAGCAGATCAAGGTCTACTGTAGTAAGTCACAGTAACATATTCACTACTGTCAAAAACAGAGAAAGAAATTACAGTAGTGTGAAATTACTGCATAAATTATGGTAATACATGCAATACTTTAAAAATTCACAGCATACCAAGTTCTACTGCATTAAGTCACAGTAATATCATCACTACTGTAAAAAACAAAACAAGACTTTACAGTAATGGGAAATTATTGTATAAATCACTGTAATAAATACAATACTGTATAAATTCACAGCAGATCAAGTTCTACTGTAGTAAGTCACTGTAATATCATCACTACTGTAAAAAACAGAGAATTAATTTACAGTGGTGTGAAATAATTTCATAAGTTATAGTAATGAATGCAATACTGTATAATTCACAGCAGACCAAGTTCTACTTTTGTAATTCACAGTAATATAATTACTACTGTAAGAAAAAAAAAAGCAAACATTTACAGTAGTGTAAAATTACTGCATAAATTATGGTAATACATGCAATACTTTATAAATTCACAGTATACCAAGTTCTACTGTAGTAAGTCACAGTAATATAATCACTACTGTACAAAACAAAACAAGATTTTACATTGGTGAGAAATTTCACAATGACTTATTGTGTACTGGATAAAAACATACTGCAGAAATTCACAATAATAATTTAAATTCACAGTGACATGTGTACCATAGGGAATTGCAGTACCTATTACAGTACTGTAGAAATTCACAATAATATATTGGAATTTAAAGCAACATATTATTTATTGTTGTAACAAAATGTAAATACTTTAAAAGCTCACAGTAACCATTACAGTATACTGTTGAAATTCAGTTACATATTGTGTACTATAGAAACCTCAACCAGCTGTAAAATGTCACAGTAACTCATCACGTACTGTGTAAAACTACAACCAAAGGTAATTTCAGAGTGACATCGTGCACTTCGGGAAACCACATCAAGCAACATGATACTGTAAAAATTCACAGTAATTGTTTTAATTGTACAATGTATTTTTAAGTAATTATAGCAACCAGTACATTACTGTAAAGATTTGCAGTAACATCATATATAACCATTGGGTATAGCCTCTCCCTGGGCTGCCACCTTACCGTGGTGGAGGGGTTTGAGTGTCCCAATGATCCTAGGAGCTAAGTTGTCTGAGGCTTTATGCCTCTGGTAGGGTCACCCATGGCAAACAGGTTCTAGGTGAGGGATCAAAGAGCAGCCTGAAAACCTCTTATGATGAATAAATTCAATGGAAACTGTGTACCCTTGCTCGGACGTGGGTCACCGGGGCCCCCCTCTAGAGCCAGGCCTAGAGGTGGGATACGTTGGCGAGCCCGGCCGGTCACAGCCCGAAGAGGAAACGTGGGTTCCCCTTCCCATGGGCTCACCACTCATGGGAGGGGCCAAAGGGTCAGGTGCAGTGTGTGACAGGTGGTAGTCGAGGGCGGGGGACCTTGGCGGTCTGATCCTAGGCTAAAGAAGCTGGCTCTTGGCACATGGAATGTCGCCTCTCTGGTGGGGAAGGAGCCTGAGTTGGTGTGTGAGGTTGAGAGATTCTGACTAGATATAGTCAGTCTCACCTCAACGCATGGCTCTGGCTCTGGAACCAGTTTCTTTGAGAGGGGTTGGACACTCTACCACTCTGGAGTTGCTCCCACTGAGAGGCGCCGAGCAGGGCATACTAGTTGCCCCCCATCTTGGTGCCTGTACGTTGGAGTTTACCCCGGTGAATGAGAGGGTATCATCCCTCCGCCTACGTGTGGGGGGGACAGGTTCTGACTGCGGTCTGTGCTTATGCACCAAACTACAGTTCAGACTACCCACCCTTTTTGGAGACCTTGGAGGGGGTGCTGGAGAGTGCTCCTTCCAGTGACTCCCTCGTTCTGCTGGGGGACTTTAACGCTCATGTAGGCAACAACAGTGAGACCTGGAGAGGTGTGGTTGGGAGGAACGGCCCCCCTGATCTGAATTCAAGTGGTGTTTTGTTGTTGGACTTCTGTGCCAGTCATGGATTGTCCATAATGAACACCATGTTCAAACATAAAGGTGTCCATATGTGCTCTTGGCACTACGATACCTTGGCCTCATCTTGATGATCAACTTTGTTGTTGTTTCATCAGACCTGCGGCCGTATGTCTTGGACACTCAGGTGAAGAGAGGGGCGGAGCTGTCAACTGACCACTACCTGGTGGTGAGTTGGCTCAGATGGTGGGGGAGGATGCCGGTCAGACCAGGCAGGCCCAAACGTATCGCAAGAGTATGCTGGGAACGCCTGGCAGAGTCTCCTGTCAAAAGGAGCTTCAATTCTCATCTCCAACAGAACTTCCAAAATGTTCCAGGGGAGGCGGGGGACATTGAGTCTGAATGGACCCTGTTCTGTGCCTCCATTGTTGAGGCGGCTGACCGGAGCTGTGGTCGCAGGATCGTCAGTGCCTGTCGTGGTGGCAACTCCCGAACCCGCTGATGGATACCGGTGGTTAGGGATGCTGTCAAGCTGAAGAAAGAGTCCTATCAGGCCTTTTTGGCCTGTGGGACTCCAGAGGCAGCTGACGAGTACTGACGGTCCAAGCGGAACGCGGCTTGGGTGGTCGTTGAGGCAAAAACCTGGGCGTGGGAGGAGTTTGGTGAGACCATGGAGCAAGACTTCCGTATGGCTTCAAGGAGATTCTCGTCCACCATTCGGCGCTTTGGGGGGGGGGAGCAGTGCGCTACCAACACTATTTATAGTGGGGACGGTGTGCTGCTGACCTCTTACTCAGGACGTTGTGGATCGGTGGGCAGAATACTTCTAAGACCTCCTCAATCCCACCGACATATCTTCCAGTGAGGAAGCAGAGTCTGGGGACTTTGAGTTGGGCTCTCAAATCTCTGGTGCTGAGGTCACTGAGGTGGTTAAAAAGCTCCTCTGTGACAAGGCCCCAGGGGTGGATGAGATCCGCCTGGAGTTCTTTAAGGCTCTGGATGCTGTGGGGCTGTGTTGGCTGCAATATTGCGTGGACATCGGGGGCAGTTCCACTGGACTGGCAGATTGGGGTGGTGGTTGCCTTATTTTAAAAGGGAGACCGCAGGGTGTGTTCCAACTACAGGGGGATCACACTCCTGAACATTCATGGTAAGGTCTATTCAGGGGTTCTGGAGAGGAGGGTCGGTCGGATTGTTGAACCTCGAATTCAGGAGGAGCAATGTGGTTTTCGTCCTGGCCGTGGAACACTGGACCAGCTCTATACCCTTAGGAGGGTCCTGGAGGGTGCGTCAGAATTTGCCCAACCAATTTACATGTGTTTTGTGGACTTGGAGAAGGCGTTTGACCACGTCCCTCTGGGGGCCCTGTGGGGGGTACTCCGGGAGTATGGGGTACCAGGCCCTCTGATACGGGCTGTTAGGTCCCTGTATGACTGGTGTCAGAGCTTGGTCCGCATTGCTGGCAGTAAGTCGGGCTCGTTCCCAGTAAGAGTTGGACTCCGCCAAGGCTGCCCTTTGTCACAGATTCTGTTCATAACCTTTATGGAAAGGATTTCTAGGCGCAGCCAAGGTGTGGAGGGCATCCGTTTTGGTGGCCTGAGGATCAGTTCTCAGCTTTTTGCAGATGATGTGGTCCTGTTGGCTTCATCAGAACGTGATCTTCAGCTTTTGCTGGAGCGGTTCGCAGCCGAGTGTGAAGCAGCTGGGATGAGAATCATCTCCTCTAAATCTGAGACCATGGTCTTGATTTGGAAAAGGGTAGAATGCCTTCTTTGGCTCAGGGATGAGGTCCTACCCCAAATGGAGGTGTTTAAGTATCTCGGATTCTTGCTCACGAGTGAGGGAAAACTGGAGCGTGAGATCGATAGGCGGATTGGTGCTGCATCTGCAGTGATGCGGGCGTTGTACCAGTCTGTCGTAGTGAAGAGAGAGCTGAGTCAGAAGGCGAAGCTCTCCATTTACCGGTCGATCTACGTTCCTACCCTCACCTATGGTCACGAGCTTTGGGTAGTGACTGAAAGAACGAGATCGCGGATAAAAGCGGCCGAAATGAGTTTT